ATAACCATGAGCCATTTTTGTTTCTTCTATACTTCAACACTTTTCTCACTCCTTTCCAAGTGAGGTGAGATGTACATACATTGAAAGGCACAAATGTTAACTACTTTTGACAAACATACCCGTATAATGTTCCATTCATTTTGAGAATATTTTTAATATCCTCAGAAAATTCCTTCATGTTCCTTCCCCAGAGATTTTTTGTTGTCCCAAACTCTGTGTTGATTTTTTTCACCATAGATTCATTTTACTTGCAATTATATAAGTATTATTTTATGTTTAGCTTTTTTCATATAGTGGATTTATGAGATTAATCTTGGATCTGTGCTTTCATAGTTTATTTCTTTCAGTTGCCAAGTACTGTTCTGCTATGTGAATGCTCTACAATTTGTTCATTCATTTTCCTATTGATGGGCATTTGGGTGGCTGCCTGATCTGAGTTATTTTATTTAATTAATTTTTTTTTGAGACAGTTTCACTATGTTGCCCTTGGTAGAGTACTGTGGCGTCACAGCTCACAGCAACCTCAAACTTGGGCTCAAGCGATTCTCTTGCCTCAACCTCCCAAGTAGCTGGGACTACAGGTGCCCATCATAATGCCTGGCTATTTTCTGCTTGTAGTTGTCATTGTTGTTTGGCAGTCCCAGGCCGGGTTTGAACCCTTCAGACTCAATGTATGTGGCTGGTGCCCTAGCTGCTGAGCTACTGGTGCTGAGCTCTGACTTGAGTTATTATGACTAAAATGTCTATAAATATTTTTACAAACACTTTTTATGTTCAATTTAATTTTTTTACTAACACCTAAGTGATACCTTTCAATATTTTGAGTGATTGTTTCAGGGATTTTAAGAGTCTTTAATATATCACAATATAGGTTGGGCCCCTGTAGTTGGGGTGCCGACCACATACATCAAGGTTGGTGGGTTTAAACCAGACCTGGGCCTGCTAAACAACAATGACAACTACAACAAAAAATAGGTGGGCATTGTGGCAGTGTCTGTAGTCCCAGCTACTTGGGAGGCTGAAGCAAGACAATTGCTTAAGCCCAAGTGTTTGAGGTTGCTTTGAGCTGTGATGCCAGGGCACTCTACTGAGGGTGAAACAGTGCAACTCTGTCTCAAAAAATAAAAAACAAACAAACATATCACAATATACTTAGATTTAATACTATCATACTTTAATAAATTAAAGCCTTTCTACAGAACGGTTTCTTTTACATCATTTTTCCATTGTAATTCAGTTATACATTTTACATCTACACAGTGTTAAGTTCCACAATACAATGTTAAGTGGTTTGCTGTAGTCATAGAACTTCTAAGAAAATTAAGAGAAAAAGGTATTGATGGATATTTGGAGGCACATACTTAGACACCATGCAAAGAAAGAATTTCTCCTTTAAGTTTTGCCACAATTTTTGCATTTTTTACTTGTTGTGCCAAGGAGTTCCACAAAGACCACACTGCCAAGCAAGCTGAATTTATAGCAGAGTCCCTTTATTAAAGAGCTGGCTGGTGACTGCCTCAGTGTCCCAACATGGGGTTTCTGAGAGCAGCCCCAAGTGCTTAAGGGGAAAGGTTTTTAAAGCTTGGTCTGCATCCTGGTTGACGCGCAGGCTGTCCAGGTGCATCCGCGTAGGGTAAGGAGCAAGCATTGTACAGAAGCAGAATTTTGCAGTTAGTTAGCCATACAACCATCTTTGTTTTAACATTTCCCCCCTATAAATAATAGTTTTAGTACTTTCTGCACTTGGTATTGTTTAAAGGTCAGTCTGGGCAAAGTTGGTGCCTCCTGGTTGATTTCTCAGGGAGTTAGCCAAGTGAGAAACTGGGAGTGAACTGGAAGCAAGAAATCAATGAGTACTTTCTCATTTATCTTTGGGCTGAACTAGACTTATTTCTTTTTTTTTTTTTTGAAAGATTGTGGTCCAGAAATTTGCCAGGAGTTAACTGGTATTTTTCCATTATAGCCTAAGTCTGACACCTTTCTCTCTTAGTCTAGGCCCGCTAGGCCTAACATACTGAATCTTGCCTATAGTAATTATTATTGTACTGTGCCAAAAGGGAATTTTTTTAGTGTTACTTGCATTTATTTTATGTTGCATGTAGTCCTATGCCATAAGTTTTTACTTATTCAGTTTTTTTTGAGATAGAATTTCACTTTGTCACTCTTGGTAGAGTACCATGGCATCATAGCTTACAGTAACCTCAAACTCTTGGGCTTAAGCGATTTTCTTGCCTCAGTCTCTCAAGTAGAGGGGACTACAGGAGCCTAACACAATGCCCAGTTATTTTTTTGTTGCAGTTGTCTTTCTTGTTTAGCCGGCCTAGGCCAGGTTTGAACCACCAACCTGGGTGTATGTGGCTGGCACCTTACACACCGAGCTATGGGTGCCATCCCAACTGTACTTTCTTTTTTTTTTTTTTTGAGACAGAGCCTCAAGCTATCCCCCTGGGTAGAGTGCTGTGGCATCACAGCTCACAGCAACCTCCAACTCCTGGGCTCAAGCGAGTCTCCTGCCTCAGCCTCCCAAGTAGCTGGGACTACAGGCGCCCGCCACAATGCCTGGCCATTTTTTTTTGGTTGCAGCCGTCATTGTTGTTTGGTGGGCCGGGGCTGGGGATTCGAACCCACCACCTTAGGTGTATGTGGCTGGCGCCTTAGCTGCTTGAGCCACAGGCACCGAGCCCCAACTTTACTTTTATACATGAACTTGTTGCAGCCTGATTTATAATAACCAAGATATGAAATCAACCTAAGTGTCCATAATCAAATGAATGGCTAAAAAAAATGCGGGGTGTGTACATGTACATGTACACATGTATATAACTGAATATAAATTAGACATAAAACAAGAAAATCCTATCAAAGCATTGCCTTAAATAGAGTCCTCCAACCAAAAAAAAAAAAAAAAAGGAAAGAAATAAAATGTACTAAATAATACAATTTGAATTTTTCTCTTTTCTTTTTTGAGATAGAGCCTCAAGTTGTCACCCTGAGTAGAGTGCTGTGGCAGCACAGCTCACAGCAATCTCCAACTCTTGGGCTTAAGAAATTCTCTTGCCTCAGCCTTCGGAGTAGCTGAGACTACAGGCACCCACCACAATGCCCGGCTATTTTTTGGTTGTAGTTGTCACTGTTGTTTTGGCAGGCCCGGGCTGATACAATTTGCCTTTTAATAGAATCACTATGAAATTACATCTTCATTTGGAGGAACAACATTAAATTTTACAAAAACTATTCTTACAATCCCTGAGCAAGTTATATAAAGAAGATTTCATGAGTTTTGGAACAATTATGAGGTGGAGCATGAATAAAAGGCAATTGAAAAAAAAGGATTTGCATTGGAAGATTCTGAACAGGAAACTATAAGACATTAGAGAAATAAATTCAATACAAAGCAGAGAAAATACATTTATTTTCAAAATCTTTGAGGTTTCTAATTTGGTAATAAATTAAAAACACATTAAAAATTCCTGTTTTGGGCTAGATGCCCATAGCACAGTGGTTATTGTGCTGGCCACATACTCGAGCTGGTGGGTTCTAACCTGGCCCAGGTCAGCTAAACAACAATGACAACTGCAACAAAAAATAGCCGGGGGTTGTGGCGGGTGCCTATAGTCCCAGCTATTTGGGAGGCTGAGGCAAGAGAATCACTT